TAGAGAAACCTAACCGTTTGTAGCAATCTTTAAAGTAAACAGAACCGAGGGATATCAGATCCTAAACATTTATTAAGCCATGCAAACAGGTACTCTTAATGCTATCAAACAATGACCCGGATTGGTTCAGAATGCTTAAAAGAAGAATTCCAGATTAGGTGCAAATAGCAGCCTCAGCGGAAATAGGTTTAACCGTTAGGGTTAAACCCCTACAGCGTGAAACGTGCTTTACCCTGATAGTGTCCATGTGTGGGGCTTTTATTCACATTATTTAAAAAAAAAAAAAGAAAACGTACAAAACATATTCGATTTGCATTAGCCAAACATTTACGTAGGTAGATGCTGCGCTAGTTACATAAAGTTACAAGATTTCGTAAAATTCTACTGCCAGTTCGTTCGTTCGTTCGTTCGATGGAAGTGCAATATATGTTTATAGCATGGTTAACAAACATATCCCACTTATCAGTATTACATGTTGCGCTTGCTGGCCATTGATCATAACGGGTCCTGCGGTTCCACGTTCGATGTATCCAGCACAGGTCAACCTGAGTAGTCCGCAAATGATTAGTAATTCTATAAAAAAGAGATTATATTTATCTTACGAAGGCGTTATACCTGAGTTAATTAACAAGGACCAATTCAGTTCTCGATTAAGCATCAGAAATCGTTGACTCTCTAACCTAATTAGGATGGATTAGGACCCCACACGTCAATTAATGAAGAACAACTTCCGAGCGTATTTTAGGTCACTCCGAAAAGTGAAAGACTGTAAGAAATCTGATAGACCACGTAGAAAGAATATTTTTAAAAAAAAATGCAGCAGGTTCAGTATTATCGACCGATAATACCCAACCGTAAAGTATTGCCGTTCAGATTCAATATACATGCTTTTTATATGCTATTATGTTAGTACATGACGATAAATAAAGTTTACCGTAATGCAAGAAACCCCATGCACAGAGTAATACAAGTCTAGATTTGTTAATAAAACAACTGCAGTAAAGCCTGCTATAAACGATACTCTGATAGCAGACAAATCGGCCTTTCTCTATTAATCGCTATTATTGCTTAGGCCGCGGTATTATCAGTAATGATAATACTGCGTCTTTTAGATTAAGGCCAGTATGCGTCAGCAAAATAAGTACATCCTCATCCATTAGTAGAACTTAAGACCGTATCAAATGGCCCGTGTCTAGTCAGACAAGCCGATTTGCCTGAGACAAAAGATGTTTTCGTCTGAGAAAATAAATTTACCAATCGTTAAGTATGTAGCCCCTAAATACGCTTCAACGATGTAGATCCTGCACTCGGTGCCATCTTCTGACAACGGGTGTTTTGTGCTATAACTCTGAAGCAAATACTGATGAATCCCCCATATGGACCGGGAGCACTTCTGTACACGGACGTAAAGCTCAAAAAGTCTCTCTTAAGCGTCCATGTCAACGTGCAGGGATGTCTGTGTCATCAGCTAAGCATTATGGATTGGACTGTAACCAAATGTTTCTAAAATTTCGCACTGCTCTATTTCTCTACGCTATTGAGAGTTACCCCGTCCATACGTGTTTAGCATACTCCAAGGCGCCCCACTATTAGACTATAAAACCGTTTAAATGAGCACGGTGATACCGCTGTAGCTATAGCATATTAAAGATACCGTAACGCTACGACATTATAATATAATTTTAAGGGAGCTATAGGAAAGATATTAGGGTACCCTTATTACGAATGTTCTCCATCCAACTTGCTTATCTCCTGCTATCTTAGCAGCTATGAAACGAAGACGATATCGTGGTTCATAAATTCTTGATCGTTCTGTACATGCACCGAAACACAGCTGATCTTCACCATTGACTGAAAGCCAATCACGAGCCTTTATAGACGGCCACTGCTAATAACAACGAGCCGGATTCCGCGCTTGTGCTTGAAGGAGTTAAGTACCTATGTAACGATATTCATAATGACTAGGTCGCGAGCGACGCAGTCAGGGTGCAAATATTGATCGCCCACGAAATCATAATCGAACCTGCTAAATATATTCTCTTATAAAACATCTAATAAAGCATTAGTTACGCACGTAAATAACATGACCTACTGGCTATTCCATGAAACAGCGCAGGAGAAGGGAGCATCAATATTTAGGCTCAATTGACATCTGTAGGCCCCAGGCTCGTTAATTACATGCCTCTCACAACTCACGTGAAGCTCTGCGTGTGGACCCAGTCTCACCTAGTCGCTTAAAAAAATATGGGCATTCAAACGAAAAGAGTTGCTTACATATAATCACAACCAGAATAGTTCAACGTGCAAAGTAGTGGATGGCGCCATGGTAACAAACATGTTTGATTATGGTTCATCATCCGCCATTAACGAATTCCGTCACAGAGTAGAAACTAAGGGCTAAGGGATTCAGCGCGGCTGGTGTAAATTGTCAAACGTATGGTTTTGTACAGCCAAGGGTCCAGATCGTGGAAGTTAGATGGAATGGGTACCGCAATATGTAAATGTTTCAAACTCTATACTTGGTGCATGTATTGAGCATTTCTTCCAGTTACCGTAATACTTACCGGCTTTCTGCAACCCCTATCAGTCGCTGGCAAATGCATCAAGCAATACGAGTTACAGAACGGATCTCACACTGGACTGAAGCTCTCGATAGAGAATGACGTCGAGATAGACCTATAAGCTATTTTGCTTCCACCGTAACATAGTTCACGGTGGTAAAGTAAATTATGCTCGTAGAAAATTTCAAAGCAAATCATCAGTGGTCTGAGGCGAGGACTTGATAAATGAGTTGGTGCCACGCACAGAGAATATTCTTTGCCCCGAGAGCGGCAAACAATTTTTGTTTGCAGATGCTGTACTTTGAGCTGCGTAAAATAGTACCTAACAAATAGCATTGAAATACATAGCCATACGCACCGTGCGCCTCAGCACTGCGGCGCTTTCTCTATAATTTAACGAAGCAGTATCGGAGGAATGCTTGCGATGTTGCTGGACATGTACATCTACCTAATCTATTCCTGTGAGCGTAGCTATTCATAGAAATTTGTGGACCTTTCGTGAGACAACTCTATATTATTGAAAAATAAACAGATAGTTAGTGCGGTTCATTCAGCCAAGGCATCTTCAAGCATTTGTTGCGCGGATTGAAGCCAAATACATGAAGTGCTCGATAATGGCGCTATTTCTGTTCAACCGTTTGGTCAGGATCAAAATCGGCTGATAGCTACAGCATCCTGAGGAGTCTTTTGATAGGATGTTTCGCTCGCGCTATGACTCCCTCATATTTCGTTTCTGCCTCCAACTTTCTTAGTACTAGGCTATTCGTCCCTATTATTATTATTAATCGTTTTTTAACAACAGACTTCATCCTCAAGTAGCGATGCGGACTGCGGGACAATGCTAGCTTATCAGCTAATCACACACCTAGGCTAGCTACCTCAGGTCCCATCAGGAACGGGTCTCCGTCATTATTCACATGGAGGGAAAAAGCGGTAGCCAAACATTGTAGCAAGCGTGAGAGGCAGACTTCTTTTATTCAATTTATTTTTGGTAGAGGGAGCGCAAGTAGCAGTAGAGCGCCCTCAATTAACAGCAGTAGCGAGGCGCTCGCAGCGAATGTCAACCTACTATGGGAATCAGAGGTACGAAAGCACAATTCATTGTAAATATATAGACCTTTGCGTATGTTTGTGCGTTCACTGCATTTCAATTGCAAATACACGCGATCCCGGCATGAGGAAGCCATTCGGTCTGATGTGCCTATTTAGGTCCGATACGTCTGCCACATATTGGCTATAGGCTGTGTCTAGCGGTGGCCGCTTTTGCACAGTGTTAGTTAGTCTAGGCGATTTCTATTGAGGTTCGGTTCCGGCATCCGGAGGTATTAATTAAGGATTCGATATATGGTTCAGTGATATAGCTTTGTTTCGTTCCCGCATCGTAGCCGTCGCTGATTACGGGCACAAAGTTCGCCGATTAGTCTGTCGAAATAACTATGAAAGTGGCGCTCATAACTGATCGAGCTAAGCTCCAACTAAAGAAACGCTTATCGTGAGTGATCATCCCGACATCCCAAGTGATTTTTTGTTAACTCGTTAGGGCTGTTTATACTACTATCTGATTTTTTAGCGTGTGGTATGCTTCTTTAAGTGGTGCTTCCCTGATTCGCTTTCATTGTTCAATATCGTGCCCGTTGTTAATTACCATTCCCAACAAAGGTATCTATGAGGAATTTATGATTACGATCGCTAAACGCATCATGGGTCTGCTTAATCATCCTGACCTGCCAACTTACCGACAGATGGTACCAGCTTATACGCCGTATATCGAACAGTTTGTTGTATGCAAGTTTAGCAAGATCACACGTTTCATTCATGGCTCAACCTCAGCTATAGCACTCGACTAAACAATTAGTACTAACATACAGTTTCACTGGTAAAAAGGTTCAGGGTGTGGGATCGTCGTACTCACTCACCCCACTACGAGATCAAACCATGGCCAGCAGCAATAGTATTCCAAGCCTTCGGCCGAATTCTATAGCTGTGAAAATACTCGAGTTGGGACGATATTTTTTATGGCAGTCGACAGGGCTTAAACCTCATCTGAAGTCCAGAACTGACGGGGTGCTCGAAATCCTCTCATTCGTTGTACCACTCGATGTTGGAAATCAGATCGCAGGGATAAGTAACATAGTGCTGGCCAGCTGAAGCACGATTTCGTTATAGGAATTAAGCCGATCGTTGATGTACAGCTGGTTACAGGGACGACAAATACAAATCTTTGCCCAAAATTAAGATCCAATAAATCAAGAACGTTAGCAATTACCAACTCGTTAGCTATTTCCATAATAAAATATTCCTAATTATATTCCCTAATCATATATATATATATATATCCTCTATATTAATGAAAAAAGCATTATCTAAATTTGCATGATAGATAACATGCATCAAATGAAGAAGTTGAATAATTTTAACGATATATTTTAGCATGACAGGCGAATTCCCCCCAGACTAACGTTAAGGACCCTGATCCGAGCAAGTATCCTTTTTGTCACGGGTAGTGTCCCGAAGATATTCCATACGGTTTCGCGCGCATCCGTTTTATATATGAGTATATAGCAAGCTTTATGTAGCATCTCATTCGGTTAACATTTACTTAATCCCAACTAGTGGTCGGTGTTCGTATCTAATTAGAATGAACGTTTCTTAGCTCCATTCACAGTTACCGAGGTCCTTTGCATATCGCTAATTAAGTGCTTCTTCTACCACCTTATAACCGTTAGCTACAGTTCCACAGCATTCCTTTTTACCCAATGAAAAGTTGTGCCAGATCCTAGAAAAGGCCACCGTCAAGTCGCGTTAACGGGGGAAAAGAAAACGTGCCTAGCAAGCCTTTGTCCGCACTAGCTTATTCCAGGAATAAGAGTGGATATTTGAACATCAGCGCACAGGCTTGCTAAAAATATATTCTAAGTAAAATTTGAAAATTAGAAGCAGATCTCATGAATAACATAAACTAAAATAAAACTGAAGTAATAGAATTTCTGTATCAACGAAATGATGGTGTACAGAAGAAGACAGCAAAGAATTGTTAGGAACATGAATTGGAATTGACGAGCCTTCTACCCCAATCTGACCCGCAGTTGTCTTGTTTAAGCCCCTCTGTATGAATGAATCTATACATATCTGCAGCAGATTGATGGGGCGTAACAGCTGTTATCTTGTTTTGATCTTGATCGAAGACAGTTTCAAACTTTTTTGTATATTTTATTGATATCGCTATTATGCCAGCATACAGAATGAAGTAATGTCAGTAAGTTTTCGATTCCGAATTACAAGTAGCGTCATCACCACTGAAACGTACCGAAAACGACCAGCGTTTTTGAGGCCATTTGACACAATTGAACAGCCTAAGCCGGCGGGTGACGCATGCAGTTCTGAAATTAAAACCCATAAGGGAACACGTAAAGTCATGAGCGTAGAGCGCTACCGTTCATTCTCTTTGTTTCCTCCCAAATGTGTTAGGCGTATGAGATATAAACGCGTATCCATCGAACAAGCCGTTATCACAAAAATGCTAAATTATAATTTGCATTAGAGCTGGTTATTTAGAACTGATCTGAATTTTTGGCTTATTACGAAGCTGCAGTTTCGACAGAGAGCAAGGTCCCACAGAAAAAAAGGTAAAAAATCCTCATACTGCACAGGACGTTTTACATTCTACTATTAGTACCTGAAAATGCCTATACTTTTTCTATTATAATTATATAATCTAGATCTTATTTACATGTTGGAGAATCTGTCTCATAATTTTTTTCACTGAGCTAAGAGGCCAATTTCCACGAGGGAGAGGAACGCGGAGTGATAAAAGCAAGCGACAAGTAAGAGTGTGCCTACCGGATCTATTACCGGCGAAGGGAACATTAAAGGCGACGGCGAGATGATTAAATCGATAACGACGGTAGCAAACAGATATCAGATCTCAGAGTAGATCATATCTTTTGATACCCTAAACTCGCATATTTTTTTATATTTTATCGACAACGCATGCGTTAGATTTTATGGACAAAAAACAATCCGTTTAAAGTACGGGAATTGCCCACACAGACTGTGCGGGTTCTTCCAAACATGGTTTTCACAGCCGCATGAGATGCCCTCAAACAGCCACCTTACCGTATCGGAAACGCGTGGTAAAATACTGGACGCGGTCATGCTTTGTAAACACGAGTAAAAAAAAACTTCATTTAGAATTCCAGTTTTCACAGTCTCCTGAGTGCCACAATAAGAGCATTGACTTGGGCATCTAAGCTGTGAAGTCAGCCTGCCATTCTATCGTCACTGGAATATGTAGTCCCAAGCATTTATTAGTCTGACAAAACAAAAGCTGAGCCACATCAAGTAAAATGTGTTGGATGTCGATGACATGTTGAAGGAATTGACTACAAGACTAAATGGTCAGAAAACTTATGTAATCTCTTCCATATGCTCAAGAGAACTCGGTATATCGTCAGCAATCCTGATAGACTGAATGCAAAAAAGCATGGAGTGCACTCCGCCTAAGTGATGACCGTACATATAGGCCGTCAAAATTTTAAACAGAACAAAATTCATGTATGGCTTGAGAACTGACTTTTGAAGTGTTCCGAGGTTTACTTTTTCCAACGCAAAGTTAAGAAGACCAATCTTCACTGCCTGTCGTCTTCCGAAAGGTAACCCTTGAAGCTATCGATGGTGATCGGTGTGCACCTGATGCTTTATAGTATTTTCAGAAGGATCGAGTAACTGAAACAACTGAAGACGGTTGCAGTTTTTAGAAATGCATCAAGACAGAGCTCTCCATTGTCAATGTCATCTGTGATCCCCCGCCAAATGCGCTATGGCCAGTTCTGTCGTTCAAGACTTCCGCAAAACGAATTAAGTAAGTAAGGTAGGTCTAACACTTTCAAAGTATCTATGAAGTCTGCTAATCTATCCTTTCGAAAACCTTAAACAAATAAATTGCTAGAGGTATTGGATGGTAATTCACAGGCCAAATGAATTCCTTTTCTTTCGTGAACTAAGAAACAATCTTCGCGCTATTTAACCCAGTAGAAAAGGATCCCACCTCAATGACTAGGTTGATAGACTGGCGAGAAGGCGTGTCAAGGCTAACGCGGCGGTGCTTAACAATCTGCCTGGGACATCAGCTGCACACCGTTGTCCACCATTCATTTCGTGCTATTTAAAACAATCTGAGCCTTGCTGAGATACTTTATCCTAAAGGATGCACGGCCGATAGTTGATGCTGCTTATGAAATTTCCCTTGGGCTTGTCAGCAATAAACAGAGAATTGTGGACTTGATGTTCAGAGTTGAGGTTGCGATAGTAGAACAATTCAAAATTTTCCTCTAGTGCAAGAGGATCTTTGACAAATTTCTTCAATTTGCACGTATTGGCTCTTAACGGTGCTGATCATTATAAAGGGTATTTTTTACGAGCCGCCATGCCCTTCTATATTTCGTGCCTTGATTTGCTGTATGCGACCTCATCGGTGCTATTTGTATCATTTGTTGACACAGAATCCATGACGCCTTAGTTCAGGTGAGAATTCGAACTTATTTCAATTACAGGCTGAACTCTCGATATCAGCCTGTCAAGACGCTGTCATGTAGCCGAGTGAGAACTGGCTGTTCAGGAGATCCGCTCGAGGATGACGAAGAATTCCTTCCAAGCATAACAAGGATGGGATGGCCAGGGCAGACATCAAACTGTGGAGGCCGCGCATGAAAATCTATCACAGTTTGCCACATCTATACAGTTAATACAAATCTTCGAAGACGCGCGAGTAACCTTATTAACCCTTAATCTCTATATGGTGCACATTTGTCATAAATAGCCCTACCGAACTTTGAACTTTACGTTCAGGTCACCGGACAACAACCAAGGACAGGAAACTTTCAGGAACAACCTCATCAAAGACATGATGTAGGGAACTCCTGCAAGCAAAATGGCTGGAGTAAAAACAGGCCTTCAAAATAGAATCTTTCCTCACTCAGCGACGAACTGCGTAAACATTGCCGTCATTACTGCTTTTTTTTTTTACTGCTGACAACATAATGAGACTTGACTGCACAAAGATTCTTTGTGACGTAGAACGATTCAAAAGAATACGGTAGTTGACAAATTTCGTTTGCCTCACTTACACCCGCCATATCAAGTTTAATCCGTCATCTTCAGAAAAGACTGTCAAACTTTCAAGTTGCCGTGAAACTTGTGCTTTTCTTCGGGTCATGTGCAAAAAGCTAAAAAGGGCCGTGTCAGATCAGATCTTTCTAGCATCGCCGCAGCTTGCGCTAATGCTTGAAGTACATAGACATCTAGCTAACTGCCCAGTATGTTGCTTATAATAATATGGTAGAAGAAGCGTATGCAGAACCTTGTCTGATTCAACTTACCCTCAGATGCTTCAAGAAAGCTTTCATCTGAGTCTTGTCTTTGATCGTAAATGATTTGGAGCCCTGTAAACCCACAGTGAATAGCAGTCGACGGTCATAATCGGATTGATTAGCTTGGAGCCCTTGAAAGATGTAAGTCACCGTTCTTTATATGGTTTCGCCGTATGACAATTTAGCTTATAAAACACAAATGAATTGTAATTGAAGACTGCTTCTTCAAACGGTTACATACCATCTGTATACCAGATACTGTGTTTCACGTACATATTGTATGTATTGTAATATTTGAACCTGCATAGCCTTTCATTGCAGTAAGAAATATCAAAATGTATTTAAAATGTAATCAAAAAGAAAATAATTATAAGAGTAAGATAAATTCACATGATGAGGCTATTTTTATACGTATGCGCGCGGTGTACATGTGAAAACACAAGGTGTATAATTTTCTACGACTTGCACACCTAAGAACTTACTCATAAACGAAAATAATTAGTTCCTAAAAGAAGTAAATAGACAAATGGAAGTTCTAATATTTTCGGAAACACCTAAGCTACGTTCTTATACCATGACAACGTGTTCTGCTCGCTTAAGGACCCGCAGAAAATATTTGGACATAGCGCCTTTCTCCTTTGAATTCACCGACTTTTCTTCAGCGTCAGCGATTTCGCCCATGATGCGTCCGAGTTCGCGTTGGGACTCGTCAGAAATACGTCGACTGAAGTCGTGATGTACGTTTTCAAAACAGCCTCCTGGAACAAGTAACATTAGGTGAAAATTACATGTTGGTTAACATTTTGAATCAGACTAAGCTAACGAGATCACATATTCATCCCGATAATAAACTGTGATAAGTTGAGCATGGCGAAGAATCGCATACTCAATTGACCTCATTTCCGAAGGGACTTTAAGCAGAGCTTTCTCTGTTACACTGAGCTGGCCTCCTACGACCACTTATAATTATTATTTCGTATATTATCAGAATAGACGGTTACTGCAAACGGCCACGCTGTGACCAAGACGCACTTGATTGTTCGAGCGGATCATCGTCCCGGCTCAGGTCTCCACTTTCGCCCTCTGTAACATGAACACAAAATGTATATAGAACCCATTAGTCCGCTATTGAAACACAATTGACACAAAGTCGTCGACGACGAAAAAATAAATAAATAAAATACATAATAAAAAACATAAGCTAACGAGTGAGGTGCAGCGAGGCGAAGCGCGCTTTCTCCCTCACCTCGGTCCTATGCCAAACACTTCTATCTTGTACATTTAGATCAGGCTACGTTATATCTGTAGCGTTGTGTAGGTGATTGTCAAGGGTATGATGCCGGCACGTGTTCTATACTTAAGATATGCAAGGGATATGATACGGACAAATGAATGCTCTTATTTGATTGACTTCCGTTATAGAAACAAATGCTAGCTCGTTAAATTTGTGGTAGTATTGATAACACCGATACCAATGAACAGCGAAAAGTAGTACCGGTCGTGAAACATCTAGTTTAATATTGATATGGGACGTTAATCAATTTATAACACTGCAGAAAAATGTACTTTGTACATTAAGTTGGTCTCCAAATTGGATTGGTTGGTTGGAAATTCCAAATTACGCGCCGCTCAAAGGGGCCTCAGGAATTTTATTGCTTGATCAAAAATCAAATCGGCGGGTTAATACCAAGATGACCTCTCCTTGCTTTCCATTATACACACGGGTAAGCGCAACGTCATGTATATTATTATATACATGTATATTATTATATACATATATATTATAGTATTATATGAAAAGATATTTTTTAACGCTGGACACTGCTAAGCTATTATATAATAGAAAAGGCAGAGAGAAGGCTGCTGCTCGTTGAGCACGAGTTATATATCTAAAATAGGCACCAATATGTACAGCCTACGGTTGAGTGGGGTGGACGATTGAAAGTACCTAGTAGGTTACGGGTTGCCCATTCCAACCTGGGTTTCCGTGAGTAGCGTATTTCGTTCTTTCTTTGGAGCAAATGGAGGCCTATGTTCGAATTCGGATATAGACACACTTTATTTCATGCTGGGGGCAAGCCGTTCGAGGCAATACCTAACGGCTGTGCCAGACGCAAGATCTTAAATAGTTATTATTTAGGCTGTCTTGCTCAACAATCACTGTTGTCAACCACACGGACCACAAATCTTGAACTAAGGTACGGCGTCATTTTCGAAAAAAAAAAAAGAAAAGCAAAGCACTTTAAGCAGATGACAAATGAACCATAGGAGCAATCCGTTACATTCGACATATAGTCCATTGGCCTTAGCCGGCTTCTAAACGATCACCTGTGAGGCAACAAGCACAATTATACGGACCGGTTCTATCATCCATCATCGTAACAGCAATATAAAATCAATTCTATATAAGTATCATTATTTGTACTAGGCATATTACTGCATTCCCGCTTCCTTGTCCTGCCGGTGCAGTCGGTCGCGGCTTTTCAATGAATACCATTATTTCGCCACAATCCGGGAAAATAATCCGAAACAGGCGCCTCAACGACGGTGGCGGTACTTTTTTTGCATTTTTTCGCTATCCCGTTTTCTATTTTCATCACCAACCACATCAGCGCTACATCACCGTTAGCACCGGCCGGGCAACAGCCGTTACAATGAAAAGCGTCACAGCTTTGGGAATCCGTATCGACCTTCTGTTTTGTTGCTTTTTGTTTTTGATAAGGCCGTCGTTACTAGCTCTGCTGCCGCTGCCATTCACTGGCGCTGTCCCGTAAGCGGTAACAATAACATTTGCTAACGCCTCGACTGTTGGACCTCGCGTTTATCGCTACGAGTCACTTTAAGTTAGCGTAACGCCCGCTAAACACTAGACGCATGCCAAATTCTTCATTCTCTCTTCGTCTACTGCCGGTTAAATGAATTTGGTAATCCACCTTCAGACGTCAGCCCCCCGCCTTGGCCAAAAGTATAGCAGAACAAGCCAGAACCACGAAAACACGACATTTGATGCGATACGTTATTGCTCAAGCGATTTGCGCTTGCCGAGCCCCTACACAGTAAAACTTCCACTTACGCGCAAACGTCATCAGGGTAGAGAAGAGACCGATAGAGATGAACAGCGCAATAAATTTCCAACCGGATTGTTTCGTCTTTGTTGAAGGCATCGTTCACGCGACGTGGGTCACCTACACAAAAAGTTCAAGCAACGGTTAGAAGACAACAAAGTTATTCTTACGCCCGGATGAGATTTCAACAACAGGAGGCTAGCGCTTGCGAACGAGACTGCTGCACCTCACAAGGTAAGAGTGTCTGAGCGATCAGACTTCACTGCTTAACGGTTGTCTGTTGGACGTTTGTGACGCTTGCGGACCGAACTGCGGCACTCTTAAACCGCACGTCGCGCCACGGGCGAGGGTCGCCCTGAATCAGCCACCAATCCATGAGGTCCGTCGCATCGGTGTAGTCGCGCTCGGAATAGCGCGTGTAATAGCCTGCTTCATAAGCGGCGACATAAACGACCCGCTACGCGAGAATACAATACTAATCGACAGCTGAAATCATAACAGCTGTGATATGGTACAAACAGGGTACGTAAGAACAATTGCTACTGCACGAAAGGCAAAAGAGAGAAAACGAAAACGTGTTGAAAAAACCTCTGCGCGCTTAATGAAAATCTAACTCTAATCGAGTATAAAACAGCTCCGACTATAGAATAACAGCAGGCGGCGTGCGTGGACGCATTGTTATGCATTGCACTATCGAAAATCTATGGTTTTAAATCGCTTTATAATTGAGTTGAATGAAAAGGTCTAGCAACCTGTTACCGTACGTATTGACGACATAACGTTGCTAGCATTGGCTGATGTCGGGGCCCGCCCAATCAGACTTCATAGACGTTTCCGAACAACGCACAACACGCATGGTGACGCTCGGCAAATAGTTACCATTAGCTGCAATTGGGTGGCCGGGCTGAAATTGCGGCCCCAAGCGCTAATTTAGGAACATGTAACGTGTTATTTTTGCAATTCATAGATACGTATTTCAGAATGACTGCACGATTGTTTTTTATGCCTTGACATAGAAAAGTTCATTAGATGCACTTTCTCTTTACAAAGCATAAAAGTTCAACTCTTAACTTAATAAATAGCCAGATAGTTTACTCGTATGCAATGTAACTTGAGGTATTTAGTTGATCGTTTGTTGCGAAGAGTAACACTATAGTTTGGACATCTTTCATCCTATACTGTTCTAGTTATAATACTGTATAAAGCAGTATACTTATAACAGCTAAATGATCTTAGAACGAATCCAAACCGTTCCTAGTGATCTGCTAATCATTATATATTGCTTTCAGGAACCTATACACTCGTATTGGGGACTTCCAACGCTTCCCTAAAAACTATCTGACGTTTATCTTTCTGGAGCACGGCGAAGTATTGCTCAACAAAACCTTCTTAAACAGTCCCGTCTAAAAACGAAATAACAGCCAGATGTTTCTTTCGTTGAATAGCGTCTGCAATCTCTTTTAAATTACCAGCGAATTTATAAAATCAGTATCGGAAAAACCGGCAGTATTTCGAATGTACGCAATGGCGGTAATCATTTGCGTTACTCGTCACTAGGTGCGACGTTTCCCTTCTGCGAACTCTGCACAGTGTTCGTGCGTAGCCATTAATCGTGGTGAAGCAATATTGAAACGTTGCCTTGTCCAGAACGTCTGAAATCTTATTTTTGTTATTTCGATGGTCGAAGACAATTGTACTTTGGAATGATTTTCATTGGTTCCGTCCAGCCGCTGCCTGGGCTCGTGTGATTTCACACATCAGTTGATCGATCATCATCGTCGTCGATTGCTACACATGACGGTATTTCAGCATGACACCACAACAGCAATAAGGTCGACAACAACAAGGTAGGCATTAGAAAAATAGCCAAAAGAAAGACTAACGTCAAGAAAAAAGAAATCATCCAAGAAAGAAGAAGAGTAGGCGAACCTATCCAGCGATTACAGCGAATGAAGACCAAAAACAAAGTCAGTTGACCACAAGTCGTCGCCTCGTGTTCATCTCCGACGTTCCGCAATTGTTCAGCCGCCGACTCTGGGCGGCCCTCCGCGACCAAAAAGCAGAGCGTCCCAGATTGTTCCGATATTACTGATTTCGCGTCTTCGATTGGCACTCGAAGGTTACCAAGAAATATAACATTGGCTACCGCTACATTTCCCGGTAAGTTGTTGTTTTTGTTGTTGATTGCTATATGTATACAGGATGAGAGCGTCTTCAGTTCTACGTGTGGCCCTTTCTAACAGCACAGATGGGCTTACTACACGCTGTCCTTCATCTTTGTTTACAGACTTTATCCTGTGAAGCTGCGTTTTCAGCGTAACCGCTAGTCAAGTATGAATTAGTAATGCTTTTAAAATTTCGCGTTATGGGTTGGGATTGGAGATCGCGCACGTCAGACTTCCTGTACGGTACTATCTAATCGCTTCCCTTTGCGTAGCGTAGCATTACCTGAATCAGGCTATTGCTTGCCGCCCGAGACCCTTTGGTCGACATTTAAGAGGGTTTTTGTTAGTCAACAACAGCGGCAATAGCAATAGTCGACGATGCTAAAGGCTAAGCGAATTCGAATGTAAAGTTGACTGAAGTTGCGATAAACGCTTGGTAACTGCTATGAAGTTCTTCTGCGATCCATTGTTTTATCGATAGGCGTTCAGTGAATCAATGTCCGCTTCAAAGCAGCGGGTCGGAAATGAAACAAAAATCTATTTAATCTATTTAAGATTGGCCTGCGTATTAAATGTTTAAGGGTGTCAGTCATGTTACGATAGTATCTATTCGTTCATGTTAGTTATGGCTTAGGACAACAGATATTTCGTCTTTCGTGTCCACTATTAAGGCTAACATTTGGATGATCATTAGAAAGGATAGTACATTTGGTGTTGTTGCTTTATTTAATCACAGCATTGATATCGTGTACGTCATTAGCGGGTATCTTCTTCCTTAGTGAGAATGCTATATCGTTGTTATAAGAAATAATGTCAATCTTATGCACATTGCGTATCTATCTATATATATTTAGTCTATTTGTTTATGTTTACTCTTACTGTGTTACTGTTTGAAAGCATTTGAGCAAGTTTTTTTTTTTTTTCCATATTTAAGGTGCCCGATTACCCATAAACGTTTACGCGTAACGTAATATCGGTGTATAGCAGAATACTACAAACCAAGCTACCATCATCGCGAATAACCCAGGCCTACACTGTACACCTTCATAGACACCAATAACAAGAAAATGTCGAGATATTTATTCTCAACGAATGTTTTTGACCATAAACAGATTTGGTTTACGCATAAACTTACGACGCTGGAATGGGTTAACTGCCTGGGATATATTAGCAACTCGTTCTTAAATTTCTTTCCTAATTAGGGTAATACGACGGACCTGATCCACCAAAACCCATCCATTAACATCTGGCTATGTACATCGTCCTGGATATTAACCCCTGTACGGAAAACATCGTAATATATGATATTCAACATGGTACGCTTTCCCTTTAAGGAGTACAAGTTAGTCTTGTATTAAACATATACCTATCCTTCTGTGTATGCCTGTTGATTCCCCAGAGATAGGCACTAAGGTATAGAACTATTAGATGCTTTAAATAAATGTTCACGTTTCGAAGTAAATCACTGCTTCAGACAGCTGGCACCCAGCGCTGATTGTGTCTATGCCCAGTTTGGAAGTTCGACGACCATTTCACATATTCGTAATTTTTGTCAGTGGGCACATGACCACAAGGCCAGCTGTATAATACTAAGACAGTCGTCAGTTGTGGGCTTCTACGAAGTCTAGAATTTCCTTAAAGATTTCACGCAGATAGGCTGATTGGTGATCATACTATTTGTTTAATTAGTTATTTTCTGGAGATGTATCTCGGTTTTTCTTGAACGTTTTCATCTATCGGACAGTCAGAACAATATGGGAAGGATTTTTGTTGGCTTCTTGTGTGATGCAGAAAACAATCGAATGTATTTCCAGCGTAGGCCGGTTTCAGGTCACGACGAGGCTGGGCCTTTCCGATTAAAAACACCCTTGTATATTAAGCAGAAACCATTAATACGTATCCTATTGATTGCTCAGTATGGATTATTTGTACAACGGATTCAATTTTGGCATTGGAGAAGAAAAATTGCTATTTTCATCATGTTTTGTTCTGTCAAATGTCATTGTAAGGGAACGAACGTTATGACCAATGGTCTGTTCAGTCGAGAGTTTGTTTACATTTGCCAGGTATTCATAATAATAATAGTGTTAAATGCTAGCGCCAATGTTGTTAAATCCCTATGTTGGTCAATGTTTTACCTTTCTGCAATGCCTACTAATGCCTCAGCAAAAGATTCAGCCTTGAAGATCTCAGCCAAGAAGAAGTCAGCCTACCCGATTGACTTTCGTCTAAACCAGGTATTTTTTAAGTACGTTTAAGGCGGTCACATGGTAATAATGGGTACATTCAATTAATAATCTGGTACTCGACAACAGAATGAGATAGTAAATTTAGGACAAATTTAGGTGGACCTCGTCAAACGGCTTACGCATTTCCGTTATAAACTATTTTTAAAAGCTGGCCAGTTTTCAATACATTATTAAAATCATGCTTTCCGTAGGGCACGATAACGTCAAGATGAAACCAATACATATTAGCATTGTGGCGTTTGACTGTGATGGCAAATCACGCAAGCTAAATGCCGCCAACGAGATGTCATCCCACTGACGTGCGTGCCTCAGTCCTAGCCGCATTTGAAAGCACTTCAAGCGGTGGGTACCTACAGCTCAAACGAAGAACGTTCCTAACAATGAAAGCATCGTTATTTGGGTACAAGCAAAAAACAGAATAGAAATCTATTGGTCACGGAAGCACAACTAACAATCGTCGAGGAAAAAGTAGCCTTTTTTGTTGGCAAAGGACCTGCAATATCTGATTTCCGCTATGTGGTTGATTTTTTGATCGTATTCTCACCGCTCGCATATATATATATATATATATATATATATATATATATATATATATCGCGATCTTCTCATCATGTATTATAAAACTTTTTGAGGCCATTTTTTCGAGTGGCCAACATCTCCTCGTTGCTTTTTAATTTTTAACGACAGTTCGACTTCTTTTTGGCTTACATCCCTATTTAAAAGTCGTCTGCTGGATTACAGTGGCTTGCTTCTGTAGTAACATCTTTTTTCACTCATGTGGAAATTGCTGTTCAAATGAACTTCCACAATCAAGGGGCTATTTATTTTTTTCCCTCTAGGATATTTTTTATAAAGTAGTATTAGTAAG